TAAATACAAATAAATAATTTAATGAAATTTCAGCGTAAAATATTGTTAANTATTAATATTAATTAATAAATTATCATATTAAAGTTTTCTGAAATTATAGATCTAGTAAAGAAAGACAACTAAAATCATCGTTGGTAGACTAATAGAACTAAACGAACGGATGCACATTTAAAGGTTAATGAAAGAATACCACTTCATTAGCGCACGTGATTATTTGTAGCTAGTAAAGTATGGTTTACACTACAGCACCACGTATTGTAGTGTAAAATATTATTACTGATAAACATTTTTTTTCATGAAAAAATATGTCGTCTGCTTACAAAATAGCGAAACTGAGCATGCGGGAAGTGACATTATCGTCTGGTAAAGTAAATAGTCTACAAGTAAGTTCAAACTTTTATGTTTATTTATTTGAAAAATAACAATAAATATAGCAGCTGTGATAAATGGGCACATTGTTCTTGTGCCAATATTGAAGTGATGATGACTCTATTGATATCTCTTCATCTGTTTACTCTCCTTTAGACTAGCCTGGTTTTAAAGATGACACTGCTTGTCTGTTTTCAGATAATAGTCATGGGGAGGTGTGGGTGCAATGCCTAATATGCGTTATGTGGACACATAAAGATTGTGCTGATGTTGAAACGGAGCTTTATATTTGTGATTTTTGTAAATGATTAGCTTCTTCTTTGTACATTTCTTTATTATTATTATTATTATTATTAAATCATTTTTGCGTTAAAATACATTGGAGTAAATGATTTTGTAATTATTTAACATTCTTTGTACTTTCCTATTTGTTTTTGGCTACATTAAAGCATTTTTTGAAAATATACAGTAAGGTTCCATATTACCACCCGATTTTCTCTAAGCCTACTTTCTGACTTTTTGTACAAAAGCCTTCAAAAACCATACTTATAGTTACACTAGCGAAAAATCCAATTAGGAACATTTAGTTTAATAGTTACAAGTACTTTTTGCACAAAAAATGTGGGTGTAGTTATGATACCTTGTTTACAATTCACTAAAATGTAATTGGGGTTCCATATATACCACCTTCTCCTCTGCTAAATTTCTGTCATATTCTAATACTTTATTACTTATAAAATTTACAAAAATTGGTACAGACTTCTTTCAAAAGTATGGGTGACTCACCTTTGCATAGAGCGAACTTTCAATACAACAACATTGTGATTTTGAAGACTTATTTAAATTTAATTATGAAAGCATTAAACTTTTATCAATACACATAAATAATTTAATGAAATTTCAGCATAAAATATCGTGCAGTAATCATATGATATAAGATATAAACAAAGATACGTTGCATTTTTTAAAAAATATAACTGTTTGCATAATTGACCTTCATTTATAATTTCTAGTAGAATTAAAACAGTTATATAAAGTATTTATACGGAAAACGTCACTTTTGCTCAACCCTGCTTTTTCTTTGATGCTACGGAGCCTCGCACCTGGTTTTAAAGCTACCATAGTTTGGCTGTGCCCATCCTTTGAGAAAGCTCTTCCTCCATAGAGCATTATGGAATGATAATCAAATTCATTTAAAATTCTCATTTGATTTGGCCCAAGCATAACGAACTGCGATTCCATCTCTACAAGTATATTATAATGCATTAAACACATGTTTTTATTCATATATTTTGCAAATAAGTATTAAATTGATATTCTCTTACTCGGTTTTATATTCTCCCAAAATATTTTTACGTATTCATCTCTGTCGGGTCGATTCTGTTCGTGGTAAAAGCCAACAATGTGATTTAATTGATGAATGATTGCTCCCAAATACATGCATTCATTAGTCAGTGATACGAAGTTTATTCCTTTACTTTGACCCACCATTGCATAACATCTGAAAATTTATTAATTTTAATAATTTTGCTTATATCTTGTGGAGGTTTCTGATTAACTTACTGATTATCATTTAAAATTTCTACGTAATTTTTTTCATTGGTTTTCTTTTCAAATCGAATACAAGTTTTTTCACGGAAAGTCCTCATGGCTCTCATTATTAGCCGTCTAGATTTTTTAGAATTTCCTAAAAGTTTTTTAACCAAATATTAAAAGATAAATTATTTATAAATTTTTTTAAATATATAAAATAATTTATTACGAAGTTCTTCGTCAATTACGTATGGTATGATTCCTCCGGCCCACAAATGAATATTAAATCGAACAGCATTCCTCGACTGAAAATGTTTAATTTCGAGCAACAATAATTATTTTAAATTAAAAATTTTCTATCAATTTCTATAATTACTTACATCATCGAAATCTCTAATAATATCGCCACCGAACAGATCGGGATTTCCTAAGGCAAGATCGGCATCTTCCGAATGTACTTGTAATATAATTTTGCTAATTAATTAATGTAAAAACTAAAATACTAACAATGATTATGGGTGACAACCTTACGTTCAGAATAATCCTGATTAAAACTTTCGAAATTTTGATTATTTGTAATGTTTGAAAAAGTCAGGAGGAAGATTGCTAAACAAATCATTTTTAAAAATTACAAATCGAAATTGGTATATTACATCGTATTAAAAATAAAATACTGTTTATACGAATACACTTTTGTTTACGGTAAAAAATTAACGTGTAGATTAAATAAATGCAGAATAAGCTTTAAGAAAATTTTGTAAAAATGATGTTTATAGAATTTACAGAATATAGAATAGAAAGAAGTATCATGGCGATAATATATGATAGGCTTGAATATTTTTACATATCTGCAAGTTATCTTGCATTTAGATGTGTAACAGAAATAACTATTGGTAGTATAATTTACTACCTATTTTCGACATTTTGTTTCTCCACGCAAATTGAAAAGAGAATTGAAGAAGAGCTGAATGAGCTGAAATCCGAAGTTCAGTTCATGAAAATAAATATAAATAACTCTCTCGGATGAAAATCGTCGGAAATTTTTCTAACCTTTGGGATATCCAAGTCAATTATGGATATACAAACAGATTTCAAAAACATAATTTATTTTTGTTATTCCGAGAAAACTACAACCAAACCCGTAATCAATACTGGAATTTATTCGGAAAAAACAGTAAAAATAAAAACTATGGATCCAATCGGAAAAATTCATGGAGCAATTGCAGTAGTGAGGATTCATTCTGAAGACATTGAAAACCGTTTCGATAAAGTACAAACAGGAAATACTCTGGTTTCAAAATCATCTGAAATAGCTCTTTTAGCAATGCATTTAAATGGAGTAAAAATAATAAAATAACCGGATGAGAAAATCATCGAAATACTACAGAAAATGCAAATTCAAAAGTGCAAATGGCTTAGAGAGACCAAGCTCCGGAAACGAAACAAAAAACGAAGAACGAATTGTGGTAATAAGTAAAATTAAACATTCATGCAAAAAACTTACGCGAAAAGTAATATAATTTTACCACGAAAGAAAAAGGAATTTCGTTAAAATCACAGCGCTCAAAATGTTCGGATCAAAATTTCAACAATTTCCTAAAAGAAAAAGTTTTAAATCAGACAATTTCGATAGAAAACGCTATTAGTTCGAAAGAATTAGTTGAAAACGATAGTCCTGCAGAAATTAAAGTAGAGAATTCGACCGATACGGGAAAAGCGGATGCAAAGGGTAATTCAAAGATGAGTCGACGAATATCTGAACCTGCCATTAAAAATATTTGGCGATATCGAGAAAGAAAACACCCCTTAGATCGAAATTCCTGGCTGTTAAAAAGTACGTATAACCTGAGAGAAAAAAAAAAAAAAAAAAAAAGATGAAACTCAATTTTTTAATATGAACCCTGTTTAGACACAGTTATTTTCTAGGAATTATCACATTGACAAAGTCCAATAAGTTACTGGCGTTTAAGATCAATACGTTTATTTACTATTATTATGCGCAATTATGCATTTCATAACTATTTAAACTCTTTTCCATCAGTTTTTATTTTCACTGAAATTGAAACTGTTCGTAAGACAAAATCATTTTAATGCAATATAATGTAAAATTTACCTCAAACAAAACTGACAGGTAATAAATTATGTTTCGCAATGTTTAACTCGTATTTATTTCACTTTAACGTGTATACAACGTTTAGAAATTGGTTGTCTGTGTGATATATCTATTTTTCAAATGAAATGTTTTCGTTATTAAAAATTTTTACTGTTTATGATTTTAAAAAAATGACGGTAAAATTCACTTATTCTAATCTCTTTCGTATCTGAAAATAAAGCGAGTGACAATAATTCATCTTCGTGCAAACACGACCACTTGTCATGTTTCTGAATACACTTCTAACAATAAACATTTCTCCGTAAATAATACAAATGAATGTTATCGCCCTAAATAAATTACACGTACTGAAACAAGTAAAAATAACCATATTTCTTTCTAATCAACAAGATTTGTATTTATTCTAAAAACCATATTTTTTTCGGTACATAAAATCAATTGTTCTATGCACAAAATGAAAGTTACAAAACGAAGAAAATCAAACTTTAGAAATTTCTTGTTTCATGTTCAATAAAATCTAAAATACGAGTATTACATATTTTTCGAAGAAAGTTAATAAAATCATTTCCACAAGTCATTATTCGTTACTATTATGATGTTTAGTAATATGATATTTTAAAGAACGTTTAAAACGAAATTTTTGTGAGCAATGATCACACGAGAATGGTTTCTCTCCGGTGTGAAAACGAAGATGTCCTATGAGATGATGTTTTAGTGTAAAACTTCGTTTGCAATGGTCGCAAGAGAAAGGCTTCTCCCCCGTGTGAATTCGGAGATGTCGAATCAGATTTCCTTTTTGTGTAAAACGTTGTTTGCAATGATCACAGGCAAAGAGTTTCTCTCCAGTGTGAATCCTGCGATGATATTTTAACCCAGTCTTCGAAACGTATTCTTTCTCGCAACTGCCACATCGATACTTCCCATTTCTTGACTTTTGATTGTTTAAACCTGTAAAATATCGTAAGAGCATTAAAACCGAAACTCTCTTCACTTCATTGCTAATCGAATATGCAAATATCTAATATTAATCGCTGATTTTAAAGTATTGTTAGAGTGTGTGTGCAGATAGAAAAATAATTTTTTTTCTAGCAAGACTTTTTAAACGAAAATTGATACCTTACAACTAACTAGACCACCCCAAATGAAACAATAAATCATACGTAAACTGCTTACACCAGTATTTGCAAATATTTTCAAGTAGTATACACATACTATCACAAATTAATGTAATTTATACATTTATCTCAAAACAACTTATATGAAGAGCATTTTAAAATATAACATATTTGGAAATTATTTAAAATATGTTCTTCATTTCATTTCTGTTTCTCTTCATTTGCTTGACATATATTCTTCCTTTTTTCATATTCTCGTATAATTTCTTATCACTGCCTTCAATTGAGTCTTCTGTAAACAGAACTTAAACGCATTCCTCGACTCATCCTTTTCCTGGAAACAGTTCTACGTTTGTTACTCTTCTCTCTATTGGATGATAGTGAATCTGAAAATAAAGGTTTGAATGAAATCAGATACGAGAATGACGTCATGCATTATTTTATAAAACAAATGAAATATTTAAAATTAAATAATTTTAGATTCTTTCTTGGAAATGTGGCGCCACAAAATTAAAGCTGAGTTCAAGATCTGAAAAATAAACGTTTTTAAGTTAATTTTCTTAATCAAGAATTCGTATACTTATGAAATGCATTCATTAATTATTAATAGGATAATTAAAATAGTTTTATCTGCTATGTTCATAAACACGTAGTTTATATAATACTGTATTTTACGAAGATCCTTTCCTTTTATTTTCATGTTTCAATTTTGATTGAGGAATTTGAAATTTTAAAAACAACCATTTCTAATCTTTTCTTCAAAATTGTGGTTTTGAGAATGCGTGAAAAAATGAAAGATTTACTTACGTTTGTCTACACTTAGTCAGGAAACTTCATTCAAGAGAAAAACGTAAAGCACTTTTAATACTTGTTAGCACATTCCACAAACCAAACTCTAGGGCCATTCGATAGATAAAGAAATGTCATCCGAGAAATCTTCAGCTATTTATTGTCGTTTCTTCTCCTCTTTTCTGTTCGGACGGAACCGAAGACGACGGCAGGAAAACAAATAGACACGATTCTTTCGATTTCTTTCTGAAAGATTCTAACAACTTTCCTGATGAGTCAAATCTATTCAAGAATTTAAATATAAATACAGTTTAAACTTCTCTATCTGAATGGGCATTTGCCGTTTTTTTTTCTGTAAATGAACTGTCAATTTTCTTAAAAAAAAAATAAGTGGCACAATCTAATATTTAAATTCCAATTGTTTTCATTTCTGTATTTTTCGAAATTTACAAATCGAAATTCGAAAAATAATGTTTGATTCGAGTATTATTGAAAAGAAATTAATACTTTTAAACAATATTTAAAATTACTAATAACGAGGGGTGATTTATTGTGACACGGTCACAATGCCGGGCTGCAGTTTTTAATCATATTGATAATTTACTTCCTTTAAAATATTTGCTCTCCACTTTCAATTAGCAGCGTTTTGCCCCGTACATCATTCTTTCCTTTTAACAATAGAGTAGTGCCGATTATATATAACTGCTTTCGGAAGAAAACTTTTCAATCGAAATAGTGTGACTTCCGATTTGCAGCGGAATTTCATGTTCAGATAATCGGGGCATCCCGCTGCTTTTAACGATTCCATAATTGATCTCGTCTTTCATCTAACTCCGTTCTGGAGAAATAATAAATGAAGAAAACACTCCGCATTTAAACCCGTTGTGGATTTTTATAAATTTTTCGAAATATTTCTGTAGGCGTATCGAAGAATTCTCACAATTGCAATAATAACCAACTTGTTCCATTGTATTTTTATCAATAAATTAAAACAGCGCCCGACGGACCAATTATAAAGTTTTACCTTTGAATGGCCGGGAACGTTCCTTCCATTTCTCCTCGGAACAATTTCCAACTCGAAAATAAATTAATAACACAAAATATCTTTCCTCTTCTTGTCGCTCTTTTAACGATTGCGTTGTAACGGAACACTTTTCAAATTTGAATAAACCCAGTGGCGCCGTCTGTAATTCCAGATGCAAGAAACTTTTTTTTTGCCGATATTTTGATCCTGGAATTAAGCGTCAAATTTCCAATGATATTTTACTCTAATTCTACTTACTAGGAATAATATTTCATTAAAAATTTACCATAAATAAATATTTTCATACAGTGCCGCTGGTAAATTTTTTGTCCTGACGACGGTTATTATCATAATGAATATTCACCAATCGTTCATTTTTCAAAAACATCTTATTTATATTAAATGCAAGCGCACTCTGTCTGTTACTTATAGAAATGATCATGCTAAATCTACAGTAAATACTACGTATTGAATAAGCCTAAACAACGATTTCATAATATGGTGGAACCCCGGTTAACGAACGCAATCCGTTCCACGAGTCCGTTCGTTAACCGAAGCAATTTTTCTCATAGAAATTTATGCAAATACAATTAATCCGTTCTAGTTGTCAGTATTTTTGTAATTTTATTTGTAAAATGGGTTTTCTTTGATGAAAATACAAGAAAACGTAGTATCTATCATTACAGAAACAAATATGTAAACTTTATTTAATAAAGTAGCATTGTACAGTACATACCTTTATTTCTACAGAGCTTAATGCTTGGAATAGAAATCCCCTTCATAAAAATATCGGGTAGAACTGCGTTCGGAGTTTTTTCGAGTCGAGGTCTCTTTTGGTAAGGAACAAGAAAGTGGCCTAAAGTCGATTGTCTTACTCTCTTAATCAAAATTTTTCTAAAACACGCTAGCACAGTGTCGTTCATTAAATTAATTAATGACCCTATTAGCCATAACTTTGTTAGGATGATGCTTCTCGATAAATTCTTGCACATCTCGAGTAGGGTAAAATCGTTATTAAGTTTTACCCTACTCGAGATATAATACAGGACCATGTTTATTTTTTTCAAAACCGCGAGTTTAAACCATTAAAATGTAATTGCATCAATCCCCTTTAATAAACAAACCTTCCTGCGAAATTTCAGAAATTTTCGACAAAAAGCACAGGAGTTATTATGCATCAAAGAGGCTGAACAAAACGTGCCACACACATACTAACACCGTACAAACAGAAATTACCCCGACTTGTTTTTGCATTTCTCGAAGTTTCAAACTCCTCTGATTCAAAAATACGAAGAAATCTTGGAAGATTATTTTCTGACCGATCGGCATTCTTTCGTTCTGTTTTATATAACAGACGGAAAATTCTTTAGCTTTCACATTATTCTTGTTATTATCAATACATTAACATAAATAAAAACGTAAAACGTTAATTAATAGGAAAATTATATAAATTGATAGAAGGTGTGAGTAAAAATATTTTTAAACGTTAACGCCCAACGCTGTTATATTTAGTTTCATAATATCTGTGAAACTAAAAAACATTTGTTATTTATTTTTAGTGCAATTATAAAAAAAAACGTTTTCTTTAAACTTTTTTCGATATATTTTTTTACTTTTACTTTCTAGTTTTATATAACTAACACGAAATTACAGTAGAGCCTCGATTATCCGACTCAATTGGGGACTGGGGTTGGTCGGTTAATTGAAAAGTCGGATAACCGAAAAGTATAAAAAAATTTATTATTAGTGTAGTATATTATTATATCCCATGTAATTAGTATATTATTAGTATATCACTATTAACCTACTTCGCGTTGAATTTTCATCGATGTTAAGCCTAACACACATTTTTAAAAATAATAATCGTCGCTATTGTATCGTTAAAAATTAGAAAATTAAGTTTCGTTTAAATACTGGCTCCCTTTCATGGTCGAATGAATGTCGCCAGCTAAAACACGTAAAAATAATATTAAAGCAGCCAAGACATAGCCAAATATTGTGGCGCCACATCACTAGCGGACATTTGAAGTTTGCCGACTAGGACGGTCGGTTAACCGAGGTGTCGGTTAATCGGGGGTCGGATAATCGAGGCTCTACTGTATCGAAATTCTTATATAACGATACATAGCCATATACAATAGAGTTGTAGTTAGAAGATAAACATTGCATTTATAATCTAACTGATTGACTTTGTATTTAAGAAAATATTCGGTTTCAGAAACTATCATTGTTTAAACTAATTAAAGACAAATAAATGAAGACGACTTTTAATAAGCAATAATATCACAAGTTAATTTTATTTTACGGAAAATAATTTTAAATACTATTTTCAGTCAAATTTAGTTCCAAGTTGTAAAACTGTGTTATTGATTTAAATTTCATAGAAATTTCTTTTACTGACAAGTCAAACTTCAATCAGTTGCGAAATCGTTTAGATTAAACATGTGACATCCATGACAATAATGTTCTTGTTTAAGTAAAAGGTCATAATTTGAAATAACCTATCAATTGCCGAGCGTATAAAAGCACTGAACACTTGCAATTTTCTATGGGATACACCCATCAAGAGTTTTGGCAATATGCATTTTTTCAGGGATTTCTTTAAGTGGAAGCATTCAAAAATAGAAAACAGTTTTCTATGCAATGTTATTCGCGGAAACTGCACGGGAAACTGCCTTCTACTTAAATGCTACTACCTTTATAGAAGAAACCAAATTATATTGTCACGCATAATAGGTATCGATTATCGATGATAAATGTTAGAATACGTATTAGATGTTATAGTAAACAATAACTTACATTATCTTACCTTACTTAGCTGAAGTTCAATTTCTATCCATTAAGTTATATGATAAAACTACAGTAATTGTATTTGATAGTAAAGTTTACTATATTTCTACTTAAAAGATATGACTTTCATTTCACATTTTGTATTAATTAAATGAAAGTGTAATTTAATGGGTTGTTTTAAGAGTGCAAGTGGACTTGCATCCACTCGCACTCTTTAAAAAGACTATTAAAATATATGTATAATTAAATTCTATTAAACTATGAAATGCAACGGTTAAAATATATGTATTATTAAATTAATTACTGCATTCGAAATCCATTACTGCACTAGTTAATAGTGCAGTAATGGATTACATTGCGTTAAGAGTACAAGTGTAACAAAACAATACCACCTGCATTGAATGTTTGATTTTTTTGCGATATGATAAAAGGTAAAGAAACGTAGTTAATGTTAACACGTCAGAATACTAAAACAAGCATTTTATTATTGTTATTATTTTTTAATTACATAACAAAAGAAACAAGAATTAGTTAATAAATTTTCTAGTTAAATTTAACAATAGGAAATGCGCAGGTACACATTTGTTATACATAATCTAAATCTATGTACACAGACGGACGACCACTTCACAAATCACCAGAGATACCCTTTCTCGTCCTTCACGAAAGCGTTTTTGTCGCTCATAAACTTCTTGAGATTGCTTCGTGGCAGATTCAACATACGCGCCCCTAAGCATCTTCAAGGTGTCAGAGAGTTTTTCTCTAATAATACACAAAATTTGATATTTACACGTTGTTCTTTTATAGTCATTTTCGCCAGACGGTATCACGACGTCTCATTAACACGACCTTCAGTGAATGGTAACTGTTGTCATCTTTACAGAAATTACGGATTTGTTTGAACAAATTTCTTTATTCCTGACATGTTTAGCTAAGACATGCCTTATATATTCTCTTTTTTCATTGCCATTAATTGACTAACCCAGCATAATTCTGGGAACGTTTGAAGGCACCTTGTATAATCTAAACGTTGAATTGATACAGAAACACGTTGCCTGAGTTATTAATCTAGCTAAGTGTAAGAGTGAAGAGTATGTGTGTGTGTTTGTGTGTGTAAGTCATTACGTGTGTGTATTGTTTTCATATTGTGTCATCTAATTTAATGAACATTTCGATATTTTATCTTCAAGATTATTAAGTTTCAGACATGACACAGTTAACTACTGCATCATGTGTACATTTAGACAAATATAAAAACAAAAGATGTTTAAGTTAGCATAAATATTACATTCTATCGTATGAAATTCATTAAAATCTATAATATCCAACGTAATATTTATAATATCATACATTGATAATACCTAATAAAGTAGTTATTAACAATTCAAATATTTAAATACTATAGGCCTGGTTATTGAAAATTTCAAGTTTTAGGTCTTGAAGCTGTCCTGAGATTTTGAAGACCAGAAAATACAGAATAAAGAGAACTTGCCATCTGAAATATTACAAAAATAAATATATCAATGTACGATTTCAAGAAGAGTAATATAATAAAATTTAGTCAAATATACTTTAATAGGGAATTTCTTGGTAATGTTGAAGTAATCATTCATGGATAAACACAGAGATACTTTACCAAATCGCTTCATAAAGTTCAGCATCTGCATAATAAATGATTGTAATCAGTTTATCAAATTTCAGAAATATTGAAGTTTGTTTACCAAATAATAACTTACATTTAAAATTTTTTACCTTTAGTTTCTGTTCTAAACTCAGATCGCAATTAGCGAATCTTCTTATATCTTGGAAAGATGTTTGCATCTGTAAGNTTTTATCTTCAAGATTATTAAGTATCAGACATGACACAGTTAACTACTGCATCATGTGTACATTTAGACAAATATAAAAACAAAAGATGTTTAAGTTCGCATAAATATTACATTCTATCGTATGAAATTCATTAAAATCTATAATATCCAACGTAATATTTATAATATCATACATTGATAATACCTAATAAAGTAGTTATTAACAATTCAAATATTTAAATACTATAGGCCTGGTTATTGAAAATTTCAAGTTTTAGGTCTTGAAGCTGTCCTGAGATTTTGAAGACCAGAAAATACAGAATAAAGAGAACTTGCCATCTGAAATATTACAAAAATAAATATATCAATGTACGATTTCAAGAAGAGTAATATAATAAAATTTAGTCAAATATACTTTAATAGGGAATTTCTTGGTAATGTTGAAGTAATCATTCATGGATAAACACAGAGATACTTTACCAAATCGCTTCATAAAGTTCAGCATCTGCATAATA